AGTGAGTGTGTCGACCAGCAAAACGGCAATCATGTTGCTCAAAGGCAAATTAGACCCGAGGAGACCCCCTATGGCACGGCTAGCTGGAGCCAGCCTGCCGTACGTACAGGAATACCGGTACCTTGGTATCACAATTGGCGAACGGTTGAGTTTCCTACCTCACATAGAGGTTTTGCGAGACCGACTGGCGGGTGTCACGGCAGCACTGGCACGTGTACTGCGGGTGGACTGGGGACTCAGCCCCCGCGCGAAGCGTGTTATCTACGCCGGTCTAATGACACCTTGCGTGCTATTTGGTGCCTCGGTTTGGTACAACAAGGTAAGTCGCGGCAAAGGCCGAGACCGTCTTTTATCGTGCCAAAGGTTAATCCTTTTAGGATGCCTACCGGTTTGCCGCACGGTGTCCACAGTGGCACTGCAGGTGCTTGCTGGTGCTCCTCCAATGGATTTGGATGCACACCGAAGTGCAATTAAATTCAAGCTCAGGAAAGGAGTGTCTCTAAGTGACAGCGACTGGCTTTCCGGACAGGACCTTTCTGAATTGGACTGGAACAGCAAAAAGGCGTTGTTAGACGAACGTCTGCTAAATGAGTGGCAGCTCAGATGGGATGGTGCGATACACGGTCGTGTGACGCACAAATTCTTCCCAGAGGCAGCGTTTGTTTACAATAGGAAAGACTTTGGTTTTACCCTAAGAGCCGGATTTTTGCTGACAGGACATGGGTCGCTGAACGCATTTCTGATGGGGAGAAGTCTCAGCAACACACCAGCATGCTCATGCGGTGGGGAGCTGGAAGACTGGCTGCACATCTTATGTGTTTGCCCCCTTTACGCGGACTTGCGTCACTTGGAGGCTCTAGGCGTAGTGCAGGAACATGGCAGCTGGAACGTGACGGGAATAGTTGAGACCCCTGAAAGGATGCGTCTCCTAGGAACGTTTGCACAGGCAGTCTTCGAGAGACGAAGGATCGATCCACCGAGGGAATAACCCCGGGAACACTGGACAGGACCATTTTTGCGGATGACGCGTTGCGGAGGAGGGGCTTTTAGCCTGTGGTGCCGTGTGGTTAGCGGCGAAGAATACTGCCACAGCTTGTCATTGCTTGTCGTAGGAGGCGACTAATATGGCACTGGGGCACCCTATCCGGGCTTGTCGGAGCCAAAGGGGAGGGTCTACCGAGCCCTTAATTTCGGTACCACGGGTTGGGCAGTTCCAAGGCTGCCCATTGAGGTCGGCCCCCTTGTGGGAGTATCGTGGTGGCTGTGGTTGACACCCATATCGCGGGTAGAACTCTCGGGTTCGACGTGGAGTTGCGTTATACAACTCGGGTGCTGTGACCCATAGAGCAGTAGAGATTTTAGATGATCTCGCCCCTCAGCAAGGGGGAGTGTTTGCCCGACAAGTAAACACTCGAATTGACACCGGGGTGGTTGCTATGTACATAGCTATAGCTTCTAGTCCGGGGCGTTGGTCTGGCGCTTAATCTAGACACATGCACTATATAATCACTTGTGGGTGTGTTATGTACTCACTTGTGGGTGCATGATATATCAACTTGTGGGTATATTAGAGTGCCGTGGTTGTAATCCCTTCAGTGTGGAACACGCCACGTAAAATAAGTGTCGGAGAGATCTGATTTACACCTGTCCCTATCTACTCACAGTCGGTCTTGGAAAGTTTCGGTGAGCGGACGTGTTTTTCGTGCGCTCCTGCGTGTTTTTCGATATCGGCCTAAGTACGCGGAATTTAATTCCAAAAACTGTTCAGTTCGCAAGTGCTCTCAAAAGTAAGAACAAGGTTCGTTTTTCGCGTTTGTGCGTTTTGTATTTGCGCGGAAAATTGCAGTTTTCTGCTGGAAATTTTCCATTGCACCACGTGCGTTTTGGAAAAAGTGAGCGCGTCGCGCTCTGAGAGAGAGCAGTGCTGTGCTAAACAGCTGTGTTAAACAGCTGTTTAGCGGGTGTGTGTCCCGGCTAACTGCGGAGTTGCCACCTCGTTGACGGGAGTGTGTTACGACATTGGTGAGTAGTGCATACAAAAACCGAAATCGTTAAATAGCTCCGCCAGATGGCGTCGGCTATCCCGAAAGGGGTCGCCAGCATGAGCGCTTCAGAAAGCGAGATGTCGGCGTCTAGCCGATCAAGCAGCGCAACGAGGGATGCAGGCAGAGGTCGCCGTAAAGGCAAGCGCGGCAAGGGTACGCCGCGTGATGCCTCGCAGGCAAAAGTTGCTGCTGTGCATGGAGCAACTGGCTGCCCGGAGCCGATGCTTGAGGAGACGCTCTCCTCATTGGAGGGGCAAGGGATGCCACTTGCAGAAATGGAGGCTGCTGAGATTGCTGCCGCGAAGCCTGCCAGCTGAGGCCAGCTTGGCGTCTGCTGCCTTGTCGCAAGCTAGGGAAGCCCGCGTCGTTTCGGTAACGACGGCCGCCCATGCGACCGAAGTGCCGAAATCGAGCGCCACGAGTGTAGTCGCCGCCGGACACGCTGCCGTGCTACATGAGCTTTCCACAGCTCAGAAGATGGCTAGGCGTGGCATGCTCTTGATGAGCCAGGAGCAAGCTAGCTGGATGTCTGAGGCCTTAAGTCGCTACGACGAACTAGTCGTGGCACTTATGTTGCGCTGCGGAGCACTGGAGTCCCGCCTGGCTATGCCGCCACCGGCTGCCCCCACGGTTGCCACATATGCAGCCTCCGCTGCTTTGGGCACGCACCTTGTTACCCCGCGTGCGGTCCCAGTCGCCCCCGTTGCTGCCCCACGACTAGCGAAAATTCGCGAACGTGGTCGGCAGTAGTGGCCTGCGACAACCCGGCGCTGTCAGGTAGACAGATTGCGGATAAAGTCCGTAAGGAAGTTAATCCAGCCCTTGGAGTAAGGGTGCACGAGGTGAACGGCTGAAGCGAGGAGGTGCGATAATTCGCACGCCATCGCAGGTGGAGCTAACCAAAGTGGTTGCCTCCACTAAATTCGCCGAGGTGGGCCTTAAAGTGGCCAAGAACCCCGCGGAGAAGGCGAGGGTGACGGTGTTCGATGTGAAAACGTCCGTAGGACCCGAGGAGTTCATGATGGAGCTTAAGGAGAAGAACTTTGAGGACCTGCCTCTTAAGGATTTTCAAAAGGCAGTGCACCTAGCGACAAAGCCCTGGTCTGCAGCCGACGGTGCCACAGTCAATGTGGCGCTGGAAGTGAACGACGAGGCGCTGGCAGTGCTTGATGTAGGCAGAGTCTACATCAAGTGGTTTTCGTACCGATACCGATCGCTGGTCCGCACCTATGCTTGCCATAGGTGTGTTGGATTTGACTACAAAGTGCAGAACTGCCGGTTCAAGGAGAACGTCTGTCGTCAGTGCGGAGACAGCGGTCACACCGCAGCGAAGTGCACCAAACCGGTGGACTGCCGGAACTGCCGCCATAAAGGGCTGCCCTCGGGGCATTACATGCTCTCCGGTGCATGCCCGATATACGGCGCGGTGCTAGCGAGGGTGCAGGCTAGACACTAATATGTTTAATCTCATGCAGGCGAATTGTGGTCGTCGCCGTGAAGCGATCCCCGATCTGTCTGTACTGATGAGAGAATCGAGGCATGTCTTCGCTCTATTTCAGGAGCCCTACGTGCACAAGAGAGGAGAAATTGTCGGATTTCCTGCCGACATGCGTGTCTTTAAGGACACCAACAGCAAGGCTGCCATCGCTGTTGACGACCCAGATGCCATCTGCATGCCCATTGCACAACTCACGACGACGCTCGGAGTATGCGTGAGAGTCACGGGAAGATATGGCACAATCTTCTTGTGCTCCGTATACTGCCGTTTTGGAGCGGATATCAATCCCTTAATCGGATACCTGAATGAGGTTCTGCTGCCATAGAGTAATAATGTATAGAGTCGCCATTTGCTCTGCCGCTCTCTCCAGTGACTTTTTCAGTGATGCCACCTAGACTACAAAGGGGAAAATTTCAGTCTCTCACGGTTCGATTCGAACTTGTAATTTAGCCCCTTGGTGAATTTCTGCAGCTGACCTGCTCGCTCTTATTGTTCTGTTTTTAGCTTATGGAAAATGCGGCAGAGAGAGTGAAATGACCAAATGATTTTGGTTTTGTTGACAAAAACGTTGTTCTTGTTTTCCCATAGAAAGCGAGTGGGACCGAATTCAACATCCACATGGGACTGAATTCAATGTCCACATAGGCATTGAGTAAGAAAGCAAAGTCTTTTACTTTTTGACTCAATGTGCACATGGGACTGAATTCAATGTCCACATAGGACCGAATCATGTCTGAGTTAAATTCAAATTGTACTGAATTTAATTAATTTGTAATATAAGGATAAGTTAATTTTAAATATTTTGTTAGCAAAACGTATTGTGTTTTGATAATAAGAATTATGTTAATTATAACTATTAATAGACTAGATGAATATATAATATAATTATTCATTTGTATTTGCATTTTCAATGTTTCTAATAAAAGCAAATCAAAAAAAAATCCGTTTTATAATTTATTATGGTGGAATTAAGTTTGTTGCAAAGATATATTGTTATTTTTGTATTTTATTATATTTGTTTTTTTATTTTACATTTTTTAAATATTTGACATTTTCAAGTAGAAGCTAGTATTTTTTGGCTTAATACTGAATTTTTTCGCTACCTTAAACTTTTTATTTTATCGCTCACGTGCGGCCATTCGTAAGGCGAAAGAAGCCAAGGAGAGGACCACGTTGAAGACTGCGATAGTGGACGCAGTGAAAGAGGCGTTGAAGGGCGAGCATTTAATCAGCGAGCCAATGGAGAAATTAACTATATAAATGTGTTAATAAAACCACATTTAAAATCCAGAAATTGTTCCCGTTTTGAATGGGGGAAAATGTTAGGAAGGTAAGTTGTCTGGGCGGCGAACTTTGGAGGATTCTGCGGGATAAAGTCCTCAAAGTTGACAGCACCACCACAGAACCACAGGTAAGATTTCTTTTAAAATAATATAAAAATCAATCTTATTTGTTGAACAACACCACCAGCAGCAGCAGCATCATCTCGAGCGTCGGACCAGCCACTGCATCCATGGAGACACGTGGCCCACGTCCACAACCAGAAGCACGTGCTGAATGCCGCCCGCTTCCCATTCCTCATTCACCTGGCGGACTCCACCAACCTCTACTTGATCCTGCCCCTAATCAATGGCGGCGAGCTGTTCAGCTACCAATGCAGGTGAGTATTTCTGATTCCATTTGTTCGCAGACTGAGGTTTAATGGATCTTCCCAAAAAAAAAGGGTTCGCAAGTTCAACAAGAAGCAGGCCCGCTTCTATGCCTCTCAGGTGGAATTAGCCCTCATGTACTGGGACCTGAAGCCAGAGAACATCCTGCTCGACCAGCGAGGCTATATCAAACTCACGGACATTGGTTTTACAAAGAACTTCCCTATGAATACACTAATTTTAAAACCTCAGAGAGTGGACGGCCGAACTTCGACCATGTGTGAAATGCCGGAATATTTGGCCCCAGAGATTGTGGAACTCCGGCCGTATAACAAATCGGTGGACTGGTGTGCCTTCGGAATTTTTGTGTACGAGTTTGTGGCGGGTTGTGGTTGAAATCATAATACAAGGGTATAAAAAACTAAAAATATTTATTTTCTTAAGCTACAACCTAATCTAGTTTTATTACTTTTCTAGCCTGCAGACAGCCCAAGGGATCTGGTTTGTTGTGAGACAACAGAAAGATCGGAAAATTTAGGATTTATTGGCCTTTGAGGAGTGTTGCAGAACCTGCATGAAACGACTGCGCTACTGGAAATCCTCTTTATCTATGCTAAGCTATAATATTATTATTGTTAAAACAAAATGTGAAGTAATTTATTAGGCTCGTGAGACTCATAAGATCTATTTGGCTTTTTGCAAAGTTTCTTTTTAGCCGATATACTTGAGTATTTGCTGCAAAAATAATAGAGATAATAGAATTAATCCTAATAGCTCTGATAAACTGATAAAGAATAGTATAATTAAATATGTTACCATAAACATTAAATAATTATATTAAATATAATTAATTAAAATATTAATAAATAAATAATATTAATAAGAACAAATATTATATTTCTGGTTTAAATGCATTATACAAATGCGCTTTGATAAAAAATGCCTGTGTTAGCAAAAAAAATTAAATATTTTGCGAAAGCAGACCAAGGAAGCACATTTCTAAAAGTATATTTACCAAATCGACTGTTTAGTCATTTTTCGTCATAAAATTTGAATCGGATCTATGTACCTGCTAAATAAGAATTTTTAATTATTTCAAAAACTGTTTCGGAAGACACCACTCCCCCTCATCAGCGATCTTTTCTTTTCATTGTTTTGTAAATAAATTTGAAAAGGCGGTAGATCGGACAGCTTTTGAAAACTGCCCAAAAATACATAACAATAGTTAATAAGAACATTAATAACTGATATAATTAAATTTAAATAATATAATATTACGTGGAAGAGGATACATAACAATAGTTAATAAGAACATTAATAACTAATGTAATTAAATTTAACTATTATAATATTACATAGAAGAGGATACCTATATGTGTTTTAAATTGTTGAGTTTTTTTTTTTTTTGACAGTGCTTATTGTTTTGAATTTAATCAAATTCGACTGTGTCGGAGAATCTCTTCTTATTTTCTTTTATTTCTCTTCTTATTCTTCCTGCTTTCTGAGTTGCGTCCCATTTCTCGTGGTACCACTTGCTGTGCTTGTATAATAGAACCTTTAAAAAATGTTTTAAAATAGTTTGTCTGTGCTGAGCGCACGGATCAGTAGAAGCAAACCAATAAGGATACTGTTTATTTGTTTCTTCTATGCATTTTTTAACAAAGTACTCACAAAAATTTCGCCGTTGCGGACGTTTCTTAAATTCGTGGTCGAATATGTATAAATGCTGCAATGTTATTTCAAACATGGCATCAGAAAGAATTTTTAAATATAGTTCATAAGAACTGTAATTTTTTGCCTTGATGAACTGTTCAATTTTTGATTTCGTTTCATCAAGGCAAGTCAGGGATTTTGTGCAATTAGAGCAATTGTCAGTATTTAATTTTTTTTTTTAATAACGTAGTCCAAGAAATATCCGCATTACGTTCTCCTAACTTTTCGTCATGGCAAGCACTTTCTTTACGTTCAAAAACTATTTGAGATGGAAATTCTGATTTTTCCGCACAACTTTCCAATTGTATTCTGCTTTTGTCAATATCCTCCATCATTCCTGGCTCATAAGACCAGTCTAAGGAAATGTCGCTATCAGGAATACAATATGTGTTTTTCGTTGTTTTCTCGTTTATTATTTTTGTCGCCCACAAATTTTTTAGTGCGTACAGTATTGCTGTGCTGTTAGGTTTGTGAAATTACCAAATTTGGATCTTAACAACCCAAACAAGTTTTCTAATGGATCTTGGCAGAACCTATTTAAACGTATAAATTCGACGTTTTCGGTTTGCAAGAGTTATTCACATACGTTAATAATTCTTTGGCAGATGTCTTTTAGCTTTGCTACGCAAGTTGCACTTTACGGTTTTCCCGTATTGCGGAACTCTAGAAACTTTATTTTATCTAAAAACTGCATGAAATTTTCCAACTTATATTTCATGATGTTATCTGAGCGATAAGTGCCTTCATTTAAAAGGTCAAACCCATCATTCATTTGTTAAAGGAATTCTGAAGTTGCCAATGCATTGACAGAACTTTGTAAATTTCCAGCATTTCTCAATACATTGATTTCGTGGCTTACAGTGTTCGAAAATACCTGAGTCGCCAATTTTACATTCTTTTTTTGATAATTATTTGGATCAATGTGCTTATCTGATAGTCAATGCTATAGAACTCTTGAATAACCCAAGACGCGACACTTTTATTTGAAATTTCATCAAATTTAAGTGGGTCCAAAGGCTATTTAACATCTCTGTTCAGGGAATTATTTCGAATAAATGCATTCTTTCCTCGTAAAAATTTGATGTTTTGCTCTTTATAGATTTTAATATTTCTCTTTAAGACGCTTATAATAGGTCTCAAATGTCTTTTCAAGAAAGTGCTGGGATATGTGCCAGAAGAGCTCAATCTGTTTGGAGAGCTCGATACCTGGGCTTTTACTAGGAGAGCTCAATCCATGTGGAAAACTCAATCCTTCTTCTACAATTTTAAGATCATTTGGAGAGCTTAATCCTTTTGAATCAAAACGTCCAGCAGAGCTCAATCCTTGCGTTATACATTTTATATCCTTATTTCTATTAGGAGAGCTCGATACCTGGGCTTGATAGGGAAAGCTCAATCCACTTAAAATAATTGTATCATTGCGTTGCGTTGAATATTTGCCTTTATCAATTTTATTTTTCAATTCAATCTGGTGCAGTATGCACTAAAAACAGTCACCTATAACTATATTGACTTCCTTAAACAATTTAATAAGGGTCTCAATAGGCATCATTGTTTTTTTCAAACCTTCAACGCAACGACAATTTTTTATGCAACACAGTGCAATATTTTTTTTTTGCCAAGAGCTGAACTGTGGTTCATGTACTGGCACAAAACTTAAATAATAAAAAAATAAAAAAAAAAGTAAAATTAATTAAATTATATAAGTATTAATACATATTTTGAAAGTGCAAGTAATTTTTAAGAATTTTTAAAGGCATCATATGACTTTAAAAACCCTAAATAATTACTTGAACCTTCAACAAATAAAGTTACTTCTGTGGGCAAACAAATTTATTTTATTTTTTGTCCACAGTAGTACAAAAACTAAGAACTATTGCTTACCCAACATTTCGCTCGGAACACTTCCTTTCCTTAATGCCGACCCCGAGAAGCACTCCGGCCTAAAGTGTGTTTGGCACACCTGGTCTCGCTTGTGCGCTGATTGAATTTTGGGGTTTTCAAACCATTTCATCTTATTTTTCTTTTTGGGAAAATAATAAGCCACAATGTGGCCCGCACAATTGGGCACGACGCATTTTTTTATTCTGAAATTTGTATTTAAATTTAAATTAAATTTTAAGTGGCTTAAGATTTATCAACTTTTAAATGTGTCATATTTTAGGGCTCTAGCTGCCAATATTAGTAAAATAAAAATAATAAACTGGGGCCTGCTGGCCCAGTGTGCAGTGCTTTACTTACTGTTTTGCGTCTGACATTTTATTTCGCTTTTGAATACGTATCTGTAAAATAAGAATGCAAATATTAGAGCTTAAAGATTATAAATGTTAATTGTCACATTTGTTTGTCTAACTAATATGATATTGCCATCTTAATTTAATTAAAACAATGCTTACCTATATTTTATTTCACTTTGTTTTCTTTTTCATTCTTTTTTTGAATTGGCAACGCCTACCGAGAGAGGAAAGAGAGATAGGTGGTCACACCAAAGCATGCATAAAATACCGAATCTCTACCTGAGTAAAATACTTATAAATGTAAAATTCATACTTTTAAATACGGAACAATTATTTATTTTTATTCGCAAAGTTTTAGTAGGTATTATTTTAGACAAAAGCTACTAAATACATATATATCAATAAAACGTATAATAAAAAAAATAACGGCAATTCAATAATTTTTTATTAAGGCCACATTTATTTATTAATATAAAATGTACATAATTTATTTAAAATGTATTGTGACTTATATATCTTAACAGTGGAACTTACTTAAAATCTTCATAAAACATAACGTAATAAATGATCATTTGGGTAAAAACATTAAAACGAAGCAATAGTGATTAATATTTATTTTTTTAATATTAAATGTTTTTTTTACTTAATATTTTTAATACAAATTGTATTATACAAAATAAATATTTTTTAAATACTTTTAAGCAATTTAGTTTTGCCTATCTTAAAAACCGAAATTCTGGTTTCATTTTCAAATCGAACTCAAAAAAGCAAATCAAACCAATAAAATATCTCAAACCAGCATAACAGCTCAAAACCGAAACATGAGTTTTACTGAGCCTGTTGTATGAATAACAGAGAATATTTTATTGATACTGAGTAGAAAATATATTTGAGCTCACACAGTTGAGAATAGGTGTGAGAAATGATTGTATTGATGGACGTCGAGCATTGAGAAGATGCTTCAGGTTCGACATGACGTCACGTCAAACAGCAAAACCAATTGGACTTTGCTGGGAATCTGCTTGGATGTTCGAAGTTTGGTGAAATGATACAAAGTAAATAAAATGGTATTTTGCAGCGAAATCACTAAAAGAATGAAGAAATCGAATTACCATCGGCTTAAAGACAATTACCCTGAACTTTTTGTTTAAAAACCTGAAATTTATGTGTTTTAAGTCATAAAGAATCGCTTTTTTGGACTTTTATTGACATGTCAACGGTGTTAAGTCGTATGTAGTTCCTGTAAAGGCAAAAAAAGTAAAAGAGAAGTCATTTCTTTTTACAAAATAGCGCAAAAACTCGTTCAATGTTTTGAATTTAGCGCTAACTAGCTGAACTCTTCTTTCGCATGCAGCTCTTACGGCAGTTGCATCCTGTTGCTGGTCGCTCGCACTTGTTCGACCAGCTAATATCTTCACCACACTGTTCAAACACCGGAGTCACGCAAGCGTCAATAAATTTGCGGGCAGAGCAAATGGTGCCTCTATATAGTTTCCTACTCTATGCTGCTGCTGGCCAGCAGAAACCCAACTATCCTCGGCCTAG